AGCAGGAAAGCTCGCCAGACCGCAATATCAATGGCAAACTATGTAGTTTTAGCTGGTTAGACTCCAGCAGTACCCCAGTGCACACTCTGGGGTCCCCAAGCCTTGGCTTTTGCCAACCTGCGACTAATACTTTCTGGAATTAGGTAAGCAGGATGCTTCCCTCCAGGGAGAGAGTGCGTATTACATTCCAACAATCCATCTCTGGGATTTCACCAAACCAGTCAGGAACCTAGGTGTCTTGTTCAACCTCAACTGTCTTTTCTTCCACACATCCAAGCCATGACCCGTTCTGCCTTCCCTCAACTCTGTAACATCACCCGACTCTGCCACTACCTCAACCTCAGGCCGCTGAAACTCTTGTTCATGCCTTCATCACCTCCAGGCTCGACTATGCAAACGCCCTGCTTGTCAGCCTTCCCAACTCCTCCCTCCACAGGCTGCAGATAATCCAGAACTCTGCAACCCATGTCCTCTCCCGCACCAAACTCCGTGACCCCATCTCCCCCACTCTCGCCCGACTCCGGTTCCCTATCCTTCAGAGGATCCAGTTCACGATCTTGGTCCTCACCTACAAAGCCCTCCATGGCCTCACCCCACCCTACCTCTGCGACCTCCTAACCCCCTACCAACCCGCCCGCTCCCTCCGCTCAGCCGGCTCCGGTCTGCTCCATGTCCCCCGACTCACCCGCCCCACCATTGGCGGGAGAGCTTTCAGCCACTCTGCCCCTAACCTCTAGAATTCCATCCCCCAATCACTCCCCCTCGCCCCCTCCTTAGCCTCCTTCAAGTCCCGCCTCAAGACCCTCCTCTTCGACCATGCCATCGGCCACTCCCCTTCCCCTCCCCTCCCTTCTCCCCCCTGACCCCAGCTCAGGTCTGAAATGCTGTACGCTGTCCAGCACTTTGGGACGTCCTCCTGATGTGAAAGGCGCAATACAAATGTAATCCTGTTGTTTTTGTTCCACGTACACATGGAGCTCAATTTAATATCTCATCAGAATGGCAGCACCTCTGACATGTAACAATTCCCAGTACTAAACTGGAGCGTCATACTGGACTGTGTGCAATTACATAGAATCTACAGCACCGAAACAGATGATTTGGCCCATTTAGTCCATATCCTCATGTTCCCAACTGAGCTCCCCCTCGCCCCCATACCCTCTCTCACATATGCTCCTGGTGAGCTCCTGTGCCAAGCAGTAGTTGTACAGTTTGTGTGGGTGTGTTTGTATATGTATGTGTGTCTGCAGTGTAAGCATATGTGAAATTATGATATTTGCATATGATCTATGACAGTGAGCATTGGCAGGTTATTTGACCGAATGGACGGTTAATCGTCTTAACCAAGCATAACCAAGCACATCCACAAAGCCTCACGCGACACTCATTTGAGTAGAAAAGAGACCCAAATGGAATAAAACCAACCATGGCCTGAACTTTTCCTTCCATGTCACAGGTGCTGAAGCGATTTGCAGCAGCCAGCCTCCTGACTTACTGCAGCTCACCCCCCCCTCTTACGGCAGCCCTGGCCCCTAGCTGAGGGTAACCAAATTATATTGCTTCAGGTTTTACAGCAATTCTTTATCTTTACCCCTTCTTTCCCCAGGCTGGGTTATAGTCACTCACTCTATGGTTGTTTGTGGGACATTGCTGTGCAAAAACTGGCTGCTGTGTTTCCCCACAAAATACACAGTCAATCCACTTTACAGTAAATCCTGTGAAGCACTTTCTGATGTCTTGAGACGTGATAAGGTGTTATATCAAAAGGCTGAAATGTTACAGGAAAGATTTGAGTTGTGGCTCCAATTAGAAAGGCTTGAGTCAGGCCACATTTCTGCTCAAAAGCTCCTTTTTAAGTAGGTGGAGTTTCCCACCCACATACTTGTTATCATCCACTAAAGTATTGCTACAACAACAACAGCTTGGATTTATATAGCGCCCTCCACGCCGGACGGCGTCTCAAAGCACTTCACAGCAACAGATCCCGGGCCGAGCCAGGGGGAGGGGGAAGAAGGTGACCAAATGCGCGGTCGAAAAGAAAGGCCTTCAGCTGAGACCTGAAAATAGGAAGGGGGGGCGGGTGAGGCGAAGGGAGTGAGGAAGGGAGTTCCAAAGCCTCGGTGCGTAGTGGCTGAAAGCGTGGCCGCCGATGGTGGAGCGGAGGATTCGCGGGACGAGGAGGTCAGACCCGGTGGAGTGAAGGCAACGGGTATACTGTTGTGAGGAGAGAGGAGGTCAGAGAGGTAGGGTGGGATGCAGAGGAGTGGAGGGATTTGAAGACAAGAGTGAGAATCTTGAAGTGGATCTTCTCTGTGACAGGCAGCTAATGCAGTCTGGCAAGGACTGGAGTAATCGGGGAGCAGAGTTTGGGGTGGGAAAGAATGCGGGCGGCAGAGTTCTGGATGACCTGGATTTTATGGATGTTAGTGGAGGGGAGACCGGCGAGGAGGGCATTTGAATAGTCCAGCCGAGAGGTGACAAAGGCATGGACCAGGGTTTCAGTGGCTTTCAGAGAGAGGTATTGGCGGAGACGGGCGACGAGTCAGAGATGGAAGAAAGCAGTGCTGGTGAGGGACCGGATGTGGGGGAGGAAGGATAATTGGGCGTTGAACCTGACGCCTAGGTTGCATACGGGTTCGGAGGTTTTTAGGGGGAGGTCGGGTAGGTGGAGTAGGTGAGAACCATGTGATTTTAGACGTTGACGAGAGCCAAAGAGTATGGCTTCCATCTTGTCAACATTTAGCTGAAGGAAATTCGCGCTCATCCAGCTCCTGAGATCTGACAGGCAGGCTGACAGAACATCAGGGGACTGGGGGTCGCAAAGAGAGGTGGAAAATAGAGTTGGGTGTTGTCCGCATCCATGTAGAAGCGTACCCCATGTCTGCGGATGACATCCCCAAGAGGGAGCATATAGATTTGGAAGAGGAGGGGGCCAAGGATGGATCCTTGGGGTACCCCACAGGTAACCGGGTGAGAGCGGGAGGAGAAGCCGTTTGTACAGATGTACTCCTGGCGGTTCGTGAGGTAGGACTTGAACGAGGCGAGGTCCAGGAGGACAAGGAGGCAGAGGGATCCCTGGTCACAGATAGAGAAGATGTCATTTGAGACTTTCACAAGCGCAGTCTCTGTACTGTGGGCAGGGCGTAAACCAGACTGGAGGGGTTCGAAGAGGGAGTGGGAGGAGAGGTGCGCGCGAAGTTGAATGGCAACAATGCGTTCTAGGACTTTTGCGAGGAAGGGCAGGTTTGAAATAGGGCGGTAGTGGCTGAGGTTTGAGGGATCTAGGGAAGGTTTTTTGAGGAGTGGGGTGATGACAGCAGTTTTGAGGGGGGCAGCGACTGATCCAGAGGAGAGGGATTAATTGATGACATCAGCCAGTAGTGGGCAGAGGAGGGGGGCTGGGTGACCAGCAAGTTGGTGGGGAATTACTAAAGACTCTGGAACGAGTGCTTACTATGACCTTATGCTTGAGTGTCCAAGTACAGGTTTCATTTAAAAAGACTTGTGGGCTGCCCGTTGTAGGGCGGATAAAGGCCCCGCAGAGCAGATAGTCTCATGACAGCTTTCTGTCAACATCAACGGTCACTACCTTTTATGTAACATTATGTGAAGTGCTTTGAGATGTTTTTCTGTGATAAGATGCTGTAACAAATGCAAGTATTAATATTAAGAAAACGCAAAATACTGCAGATGCTGGAAATCTTTAACAAAAACAGAAGTCGATGGGAACACTCAGCAGGTCAGGCAGCATCTATGGAGAAAGAAAAGTGAGCTTCTCCATAGATGCTGCCTGACTTGCTGAGTGTTCCCAGCGACTTCTGTTTTCGTTACTAATATTAAAATTCAGTAATAGTAAAGAGAATGTAATCTTTGTACAAACACAGTTTTGATTAACTAGTTTCTTTATTTGAACCTTACACTTCCAAAATCTACCCAATCACTTTTCTTTTTATACTTTTTATACTTGCTTCTTCTCATTGTCAATGTCCAATTGCCAGTTAAGTCATTAAAGCAATATGTAACAGAGAAAGGTTCTAGCACTGCTGGTCCAACCTCTAGTCTCACATCGCTGCCAAGTGCAGAATTCTCTGGATCAAGTATTGTGATGTTAAAATCGCTCGACTACCTTTCCAGGTCTGTGACCTGTTCTCATTCATCAATGACAATATAGTTATGTTGTGGAGAATGGAGAATTGACCTGACTGGCATTGCTGTCCACTCTAGACTGCAGCTTTGTGTGTTCTGCAGGTCAGTGAAATCAATATGTGTTCAAGTTGCAGCTGCTGAATACCCCAAATGGCAAAGAGCAGGGTGTGTCTCTAGCCAGATTCACTGCTGGCATGGATTGACTAAGAGCAACTCTATGCTAGAAACATAAGCTCTGTAGCACCCAAGTTATAATAATGTCAAGTTTAAATAATGCTCAGTGAAAGGAAAGAGCAGGAATCTCTGACCACTCACGCTTTGGTTTATTTAAGAATATCGTGCATTTTGACATCAAAAGTATTGAATAGGCAAAAATGTTTTGAATAGATTTATGTTTGCTTGAGTTGGATAAATAATGATCTCTGATGGCCAGCACGCTGATGTGTTTATAAAGCTCCAGAATTTAGGTTGACTGAGTAACTTGGCAGTGGGATTTTGTGGCCACTTTGGGTGAGGAGTTATTTATCATACTGCTCAAAGTCATGGTGTCCCATTTTTCTTGTTCGAGTTAGTGGAGCTTGTGCCATGATGGCATTTATGCCATGCCTTGGGACGTCCTCCTGACACGAAAGGCGCTATACAAATGTAATTTTTTGTTGTTTGTTGTTATTTAGCCTAGACACAGTTGAGCCTTGAATTCAAATGCTATAAACAATTTTTACTGTCGTTCCTCTTTTAGTTGATGTTAACCTGTGCCAGTTCATAGCCACTACTATGTTGTAGACTTTCCACCCCTAAACTGGGGTGGAACACAGAGAGCATGTAGCCTTTCATCCCGTCAGTCTGAACTGCGCATGAACTCAAGTCGCATAGCTGACAGGAGGGTGTTGTAATCTACTGTACTATCTAGTTACTGCCCCCTTACACACACGTACACACCAAACACTACGCCATAAACATATTTTATTTATAACAGTCCCAATATCTTTTCTGTTGGAAAAACATTCAGTTTTTCATTGTACCATTTGTGGCTTCGCTCTAGTATTTCTGCACAGGTGCTTCAAAACCACGTTGGAGTGAGCCTGAGTTCTGCCTGGCATCCACGGACCTATGCTATCTTGTTACGCGTTGTATCTGTGTCTTCATACTATCTATGGCTTGAAAATCCTGCTGCTGATAGTGGGAGATAATCTTGAGATGACATATTAGTAGCCAGCAAACACGTAACTTAAAGAGACTGACAGAGGGAGGATTGGATGAATTCTTCTGACATTAGTAGTTGACTGACAGGAGGGATTTCTTCTTCTCCCTCCCTGCCTCCCAGCCTCCCATCCCACCCCCACAAACAACATCCGGTCCTGGGGGTCCACCTGTCACATCCTAGCACATCAAACTCAATCTGCTATAAATGAGCCAACCTGGCCTGGATTAGGCTGTTTACAAGAAGCAGCACAGCCCTTTCAAGGGCAGGATCTCCAGCTTTGTGAGACCATGTGGGATTGTGGTGGATTGGATACTCCGCATCTAGAAAGCAGACAAAAGGACCCAAAATGAGTAACAGTTTGTACACTGACTTTCTCCAACCAAGACTGAGAAACTGCAGTCTTCAGGAAAAGTGTGATCAATCCTTCTTTCTGTTCTATTACTACAGGATGGAGGACGAGGCAGTGCTGGACAGAGGGGCTTCCTTCCTCAAGCACGTTTGCGATGAATCGGAGATGGAGGGTATGTAAATAATTATTTGTATGTAAGGAACTATGATTTATTGGTGTTGGATTTAGGGAATTCAGTTTATTGTCCTAGTAGTGGACTGTGTGGGTTACACTTCCCTGCTGCAACTCTGAGGCGTTGTCCTTGATTAGATACAGATCAATGCCACCTTTCAATAGCTGTACGTGATCACTGTACTTCACTAAGGTTTACCTGGATTTGTTCAAATGTTCATTCCTCTCTGGTGTTCTCGGTGGGTGTTTGCCTGAGAAGGCGATGTTTATGGATGTGACAATTTGCTGTGTTAGGAAAGTGCAAAGTGGATCAGTTGTTTAACAGAATCAAGGCTCTGTGTGAGCTCTTTATACTGCACCTGTTAATAGGAAACAGCAATGTAATCATCAGCAGCACTTTCTAACTCATTCAGTCAACCTCTACAACAACTTGCACTTATGTAGCGTCCTCCACGCAGAGTAGTGTCTCAGAGCACTTAGCCTCTAAATACTTAGTTACATTATTACACTATTGGAGTTTTTGTAGAGGACTTTTTGACTCCCTCCTTGTCCGCTCACAATAAGCTTTCTGAATATGATGGAATCAATCCTCCTCACAGTACTCACTGAAAATAAAATAAGCATTATTATTTATTATTATTGTTATTATTATCTTCTTGTATTCAAGGTGCAAAATGGAACAGTTATCTTGAACTCTATGACTGTTTAATGTGAGCAGAGAAACTAGATCATAGGGTCACAGACCTAAGCTCAGAAGAGGGATGTGTACTTTACAGAAAGAATGGTGAATATCTGGCTAAAAGTTACCAGACGGATGAGAGTGGACAATTGGGTCAGAAAATTCAAGAGGGAATTAGGCAGGTATTTGATGAAGTTAAATGAAGGTATGAGATATAAAGTGGTAGAAGATATATTTTACTTTGTTCTAAGTCACATGGACCCCAATGGTTCTATGTCCCATTTAATGACTCACAGACCATAGAACATCTGATACATCTTCTGAGGTGTGAGAATCAGAGTCAAGTGGCTGCTGCTTACAAAAAAGGTCACTATACGTAGCTATCATTACTATAAAGTGTTTTAAGACATCTCAGTGTGATTAAGACACAATAATGCACTTTAATTCCATTTACTGGAGAGATGTAACAAATGCTGTAGTTTTCGATGACTTTAATGTTAACAATGCTGTTTATTCCATTTGCACCATAATCATCATATTTTGTTTTTACCCCATTATATCTGACCGTGGTATCTGCGAGTCTGATTATGCACCCTTTGTAATTCCAGCATGATGCCAATTCAGCTTCAATTCCAGGCTATATCAGGCTAATCCTACAACTCCCTTCTGTTAGTAGCTGCTGTTTTGTCGGTGCCTGCTGTTTCATCCAAAGTGCCTTCTCTAACCTTTGGGCTTGCCTTTTCATCCACACCTGGTATCTCCCTCTGATTTCTCATTCAAAAAGGCTGCTTTTAACTGACGTCTTTTAATGTAAAGTGCTTTGATCTAAAATTGTAACAAAAATTGGATAACAAGATGGAAATGGGGGGTGGGGGTGGACGTGAAGGTTTCCGAAGAGCATTATTTCAGCTTGAGAAAATACAGAGGGACTGTCTCTTTAACCACACATCTCTCCCAGTCATGGTCTGGGTGTCTTGGTCAGGCAGAAGCTCCTCGATTGAAGTAGAGCAGGAATTGGGAACAGGTTTCCTCTCACTGGGATACAGCCCTTTAAGAGTTTATACAAAGATTTATAGTTGTGGATGTTGATTTTCTTTCTCAAGTTTTTCTTTTGTTTTTTATTTCCTTTTTTACAATGCCTTTTCAGCTGCTTTTTGTATCTCAAGGAGTTAACATTATTAGTTTAGGATCCCTCTTCATGGAAATAACATCTCAGAGTGTTTGAAAAACTCAATTGTGTTATTGGTCAGGAATATCAATTTCACCCCATTCAATCTTATCCGCCCTCAATACAAATCCAACTAATCTTCCCATCATAACATTGAGTTGTTTGTTGAACGCGTCCAGTGGTCCGATGCTGTATAACCTTTCCTGGGTGACCTCAACTAGCTGATGATTAAACCTCGGCATAAATAAATCTTTCCCAATATCTATCCTAGAATTGCCCTTCACAAGTATAATCACACTTGGTTGTGTGAATTGGTGATGGAACTGTAGAAATGTACAGAAAGAAGGAGGCCATTAAGCCCATTGTGTCTGCTGTCTCTCTGAAAAAGCTATCAGTTTAACCCCTTTCTTCTGCTTTTCCCCTATACTCATACTGAAATCGAATTTGAGTTGGTTCTTAACCCATTAACCCAGGGATTTTTCTGGTCTAAATGATTTGGTTCCACACAGGACAACAAATTTACCCACTGGAGCATTGCTAGAAACTAGTCCATTCCTGCTTCCTCAGCTATTTATCCTCAAACTACACGTAATGGCAGCGTGTGTTATTGAACACTTTGCTCCTGGAGTATATTCTATGCAGCGGAGGTTGAGGATCAAGCCTCCAGCCAAGGAGTATGGATCATCTGTCAATTGCATACCTGTGATCGAACAACTAATGTCACCCTGGGAAGTAAGCCTTCAGCCACTGAGCTGTCAGCTGCATTTTAGTCTGAGAATAGGAGCATGTGGTGTTAACTTTGAGTCACACAATGCCCAGTGTGGGATCTTTATTTGCAAGGAGCATATGAGTGAGCGTCATTTGGTTAATCGATAACTGGTGTTACAGTAATGACCACACATTTAAAATGCTTAACGCATAATTTCTGGCTGCCAAGGACAGGCCACAGGCGGGTGTAATCATATTGCTTTCCTGTGGAGACATTCTGACGTTTGAGAGTTTATTTATTTTCTCAGCCAAGCTCAATCCTATTTTCACTCAACATCAACATATACTATCTTTCCATCAGGGATCTCCATTGAGGATAAGGAGCAGAATCCACGGCTGATTTTCTCCTGTTTAACCCAGGGACATTGAGGCCAATTGTAGCCTCAACCAGTGCCCCAGCTAGTGCCCAACTAACTTGACACAGACTGAGATGTGAATTTATAACTGGTGGTCTGCAAGAAAGATAATAAGGAATCACTTCCGGTTTTGTGGTGATCTTGATTTATCACCATTAGCATGATTAGGTCATCCTTGATTTGATATATATTGGGAAGACGTCTCAAAGCGCTTCACAGGATTTACTGAAAAATGTAGTGATTGTATTTTGTTGGCAAATGTGCAACCAATTTGCACACAGCAGTATCCTACAAACAGTCATGAAGGGAATGACCCATTTTATATTGGAAATTATTGGCCAATATACTATGAGAAACTCCCTTCTCTTTTTAAACTGTGCAATGAGATCTTTAATTCCACCTGAACAGGTAGATGGGACCTCGGTTTAATGTCCTATCCAAAGGACGACACATCCGACAATGCAGCACATCCCCAGCAGTGCAATGGAGTGTCAGCCTAGACTATATAATTTCAAAGCATCGATGTGGGGCTTGAACCCTTACCTTTCTGACCCAGAGGTGAGAGTACTGCCATCTGAGCCAGGCTGAACCATAAAAAGATCAGCAGTCTAAGTTTATTAGCCATCAGGGTCAGGGGCCCTGCAGTTGAGCTTTCAAGAGAGTTCTTGAACAGGTTAGCAGCAGGTTTGCTCATTGATGCCCTCTCGTATGTTGGAGAATAGATTCTCTGACATGCCCCTATTGCGACCTTCAGTAACCGGCAGAACTGAGAATAGAGATGCTGTGTGTCAGCCTGGCTCAGATAGTAGCACCTTCACCTCTGATTTAGAAGATTTGGGGTTCATACCCTACGTTGTAACTTAATCTCACATAGTTTAGGCCAGGGTGGTCCAACTGGTGGCCCGTGGGCCATATCCGGCCTGGGGATGATTTAATTGGGCCCAACCACTCCTTCAATTTCATCCAGCCCACACACTCTCTCCATAACCTGTAAATGTTATGTTTTTGGAAGGAAAACACAAAAATATTGCTTATGCCAAAAGGTTGGAACACCTTGGTTTAGGCTGACACACAAGTGCTGTGCTGGGTGAGTGTTGCATTGTTGGAAGTAACATCCTTTCAATGAGATGTTAAACCAAGGTCCCATCTGCCTGTTGAGGTGGACTAAAAAGATCCCATGAAAATGAGAAAGGAGTTTCTCCTGGTGTCCTGGTCAGCAATCCCCCATCTAAAATTAGTTTTATGCCTGATTGTGGAACATTGCTGTGGACAATTAGACTGACTTGGTTACCCACAAATGATATCCTGTGAAGTATTTGGAGACATTCCCTGGACATGAAAGGCACTAAAATATACAGTCAATTCACTTTACAGTATATTCAGTGAAGCACTTTGAGATGTCTCGAAGACACAATAAGGCGCTATATCAAATGGAAAGATTATTATTATTCAATGTGAGGATTATTTATTTTGTAACCTGGGTGTTTTTCTATTTGTAGCCTTGACTGCTGCCTTGGCTGAGATCGGGAAACACATTACAGACCAGAATATGCATCTGCTATCTTCTGGCTTATATGACCTTATGCTTCACCAGCAGTGCTGCTTTCATGTTAGAAAATTTGCACCAGTGGTAACATAAATGGGAGTTATTGATCCTCGACACAGTACCATGTGAACACATAAGGGACTTATTCAAGCCCTGTAGGTTGGACACACCAGATCGAAAACTGGATTTTTAATAGGTACTCTGAGGTGCAAATGGGCGGAGAGAGATTTCACTCTGGTTAAGATTTGCTCTGTTTATGTTTCATTTCAGAGTGTTCAGAATTTTGCTCCCCTTCTCCCTTCATCGACACCCAACCTCACCATTGTGAAGCACTCTGAGATGACAATTTGGGACCGACAAGTCAGAGCAGCAGGCTTATGTTCATGCTTATGTTCATGAGAACTTATCGTCCTCAGCTGCTGTTAGGCAGCATTTATATAAATTAATTAAATTAAAGGCTCACCCCAACTGAAAGAAACAGGTCCTGTTTGTAAATCTATAAGTGACTGTAGCTCTTGCCATAGTAACTATTTGGAGACCAGAATGAGCACTTTAGAAATTTATGAAATTATTACATATAGGTTGTTCAGTTGTAGTACATATTGAACGTAGGATCTCTAACTCAAAGGGATTTTTTAACAATAGATTAACCATTTCTATAAGATAGTCACAAGAAATGTAAGATAGTCACAATGAAAGTGGAAGGGGTAGGGATGGTGTCAAGGGTGTAGGTTGTGGACTTAACATTGGTTATCGTGATGGTGAGAGAGGAGGGGGAGGCAGGTTTGAAGGTGTGGAGGGAGCGATGCATAGAGGTCGGAGTGTGAGGGAGAGATGGGGAGGGGGTGGCATTTGGGAGGGTGGAGCAGTTGAACAGATCCCCTCAATTTTAGACTCAAGGAAATCCTGCATCTTCTCGCAGTTGGAGTTGGAGGAGAGGATGGGAGAGGCATGAGAGAGTTGACAGAGGAATCAGTTGGTAGTGGAGAAGAGGAGCCTGGGGTTCTCCTTGGCCTCCGGGATTATCTTGGAATAGAAGGATGATTTAGCAGAGGTAAGGGTGGAGTGGTAAGTCTTGATGCGGTCCAGCCGGATCTGCCAGACCAGATTTGAGCCAGGTGCGTGCAGCGGCACACACTTGACCCTTGAGTGAGCGATGGTGGCTGGTGCACCAGGATGAGTTGTGTGAGTAGGAGGTAGTTGGGGAGGTGATGGGGGCAAGGGCATTGAGAATGGTGGTACTTGACTTGGGAAACACTTAATCTAGGTCCAATCTGCCTTGTGATTCAGATCCATCATCTGCCTGGATTATCCAGTGTTGCACTCAATGGTGCCTTTACTTACTAGGTGATCGACAGATAGGACCTTCATATCCTATAGAAAGAGATGAAGAGAGAGAGAAAAACTTTCTCCTTGCAACCTGTATAGTGCCTTATCAGGTCTGAAAGGGCACTCAGCTGAGATTCTAAAGAAGCTGGTGGAATCGTAACCCAGCAAAACATCAGAACCTCAAGGAGGGTCAGAATAAACAACATAAATTTGAGCAGTGGCTGAATGGGCCTATGACAAAAGTGTAACACTGCTCACAATTGTCACTAAATTAGAAGTCTCAGCTGAGTGGAAATTGCATCTAATCTTAGCCTCTAAGATGATTTTATTTAACAATTTGGGAATGCAGATACATTGAATATGGCATCACAAGTGGCGAAAGCTGTAAAGAGAACTAATAGTTAATGGGTTTTATACCAAAGTACAAAGGCAAGGTGATAATGCTACTTTGTACAAATCACTGGTTAGACTGCATCCAGTTTTCAAAAGATGTCAACCATCTTCTGGATTAAGATTATATAAATAATTTTCCATAATTCTGGTCTATCAGGCTAAGACTAGGTGTAGTCTTTGGTCTCGCTGGTGTGGGAAATGGAATCATTCACACTGGTGCCGTAAGAGGTGTTCTTCAGAGGCTAAGGTTAAAGCATGTTGCTCCAGAGCCACTCTGTGTCTCTAGCCTTTTCTGGTACTTAACTTGGGGACCCACCTGTCTTGTGATTCAGGTGGTTGTTAGGAGTTTGGTGCTTCTAGTTCAAAGAAAAGTGAAGATCTATTTCAGTTGCCCAGATTAACATCCTTCCCTTATCCAAATTCACTCCAAAATATTCTTGTTACTTTTACAATAATAGACAGTAATAATAATCTTTACATTTGATATAATACCTCATCATGTTGTCGAGATATCTCAAAGCACTTCACAGAATTTTTCTGTCAAGTCTAGTGACTGTGTATTTGTAGACGATTGCGACAGGCAGTTTGTGTATAGCAGTATCCCAGGAACAGCCAAGAAGTGAATGACCAATTTTGTATGTTGTTATCTCATAGTCGTTTGTACAAAAACATTACGGAGTCCTGTAGCTCAGTGGTTAGAGCACTCGCTTTGCAAGTGAGTTCAATTCCAGGCAGGGCGAAACCTTGGGCAAGTTTCCTTACTCCACACACCTAATAATAATCCCTCCAAAACCAAAAACAATCATAAATTGGTCATTTTCAATCTACGACTGTTTGTGGGACATTGCTGTGCGCAATTGGCTGCCGCGTTCGCCCACAAATATAGAGTCAATTCACTTCACAGTATATTCTGTGAAGCGCTTTGGGACGTCCTCCCGAAGTGAAAAGCGCTATATCAAATTCAAGGATTATTATTATTACTGGAACAAATTAATTGCCATCATTGTCTTCATAAACAACATTTACTTCATTTCTAATTATTTCTCATTTTGTGAATCAATTTGAGACTTTTATCCTATGTGAAAAGACTTGCATATGTACATAAGTTGCTGCTGTTCCTTGATACTGAGTGGCAAGAGTGGGAAAGTGTTCCAGAGCTCACCACTGATTTTCCACTGGTAAATATTATGCTCACCTCTCAAAAAACAGTAGATACTGTATAATACATCCTACACTTGATGTGGAGGAATCAGTATTAAATGAAATACAAAATTGTTTACCGAAATAGCCACATCCTCTGCCCACTCGGATTACTTGGTTTGTTCATTTAGAGTTCAGCACCATTAAAATCAATAAGTAATTCATGTTTTAAGATATTTTTGTTAAGCTCTACCTACCTACCCCTTCTAAAACCACTTTTTCCTGAGCTTCATTATGATTTTTTATTTTAACATATACAGGAGGAAATTCCAAAGTAAATTGACTTCAAAGTTAAGACTGAATTTAACAATTTGCACTCTCAAAATGCTAGAGAAATAGAGTAAATCTAGATCTATATTTCCCCCATTAGTCTTTTGTTACTGTATCGGGAGAATTTGCTTTAGTATGATTAGTTGGTATTCTATGCATGTAAACAAGGGGCAGGAATTGCGGGTAGGGACTGGGTCAGGCTCTCTCAGTATGAAGGGAAGTAGAAAGAACTTTATTGCAATTCTTGCATTTAGTCTGAAAGAAACTCCTATGTTTTTAATACCTTCTCATGTTGAAACATCTCCTAGTGCATTACTGTAATTGCTGTAAAATATATCTGTCTGTAGAAGTAAATTTGGTGATTATTTGTGACCAGGGATGAGATGACGGACCATTTTATTTTAAAGATTGTTGGTCTGGACACTGGAAGAAATTCCCTCTCATTTTGAATAGCACCTTGAGATCTTTATTGTTCGCCTGAACAGAGAGTTGGGAAATTCTGGTTTACCACCTCATCAAAAAAATGAGACTTCTAACAGCGTTCCCCCCCGTATGTATTATAAGTATTTTAATAAGAATTTTATAAGATATCATTTTGAAGCTGGTTTTCTGTAATGAAAACAGAAGTCGCTGGGAGCACTCAGCAGGTCATGTAGCATCTATGGAGAGAGGAAAGGGAGTTGGGGGTTTTAGGTCGATGACCTTTCATCAGAACTTTCTTTTAAGATCTTCCACTAATACAACAACAACAAAAACAACTTGAATTTATATCATGCCCTTCAAATAGGGTAACATCTCGGAGCACTTATCAGTGGCGTAGTTTGACACCGAATCTGTGGAGAAAGGGGAGATGACTGTAGGCACAGTTAAAGAAGAAATTGTGATTTGAAGACGGGCGAAGAGGAGGTTGACAGGCAGGGAGTTACAGAAGGTTGGGGCGTTGTAGTTGAAAGCCAGGTCAATGATGGTGGAGTGAAGGGGTTGAGGGATTTGCGGATGGCCCGAGCTGGCCAAGTGAAGTGGGTGGGGAAAGGAGTGGGTTATGAGAAGGTAGGGAGGTATGAGTGCATGAAGTGATTTGTAGGTTAGTGTGACGATCTTGAAATTAATCTATTCTGCAACAGAAAGCCAGTAGAGCCTAGCAAGGACTAGGGTGATGGGGTACAGAGTTTAGTGCTGGAAGCGATATCAGTGGTGGAGTTTTAAACCACAGAAAAGACTTCAAAATTAAGACTGAATTTAACAATTTGCCAAATACTGGAGACTCTACAATGCTATGTAAATAGAGTAGATCTAGACCCTGGAGGAATTTCTCACTAAGTTTCTCTTAAAATTTAAGATATCGTTGGAAATTGGGGAAAATCCTTAAGTTCACTCTTATTTGGAAGACATTTTTCTTAATTCAATTCTTAAAAACAATTGGCTTCTAAGTTAAGACTGAATTTAACATAGTTAAATGATCTTACAGGTGGAAAACGGGTGGAATTTCAGACCTCATTCACATTGGGAGGACATCCCAAGGTGTTGGACACCTAACCTAGCTAACAATCACAAAACTCTTTTTAGCTGAACGCATTCCGTTGTTATTAGGAGTCTGAAATAAATGTAGAAATACTTACTGCATTGCTGACAAATACCAGTCATGAAACTACAATGAATACTGTGAAGCACTTTGAGATGTTTCAATACAAGATAAAGCACTGTATCAATTGCAAGGATTATAAATGGCATTTGTTGTTTCCTACCTGGTGTTTTGCAGTATGTCATGGGACAAACAGGCTTGTTTCATGAGTTGGCAGAGCAGAGACACTGACGTCAGTTCATGTTTGATGAGTCCAACGTCCAATGCACCAGCAAATAGTATATGAAACACAGAGCTGAGAATAAAATAAATAATATGTGCGTGAAATTATCTAAGTACGTATGAGTTCGGTTCTGTCCTATGAGCAAACATTTGATACGTTAGTGAGTTGTTATTTACTACATCTGGAGTGTGATAAACATGATCCTGTGATAACAAAAGCTATAAAGTTCGCTATCTTAAATCGTATTCTGGTTTAAGCCTGTTCTATAGATATCAGTTTGTCTTAGTAGTTAGCACTCTTGTTCCTTGGTCAGGAAGTTAACTTATGGGTTCAAGTCCCTGTTTTTTGATCCAAGACTCATGGTCCAGACTGACATTCCAGTGTTAGGATCCTGTAGCTTAGTGGTTAAAGCACGCACTTTGCAAGCAAAAGGCCGGGGTTTGATTCCCGGTAGGGCAAAACATTGGGCAAATTTCCTTGCTCCACATGCTTGATAATAATCCCTCAAGAAAAAAAACAATAATAACTTGGTTACTTCATCCACAACTGTTTGTGGGACACTGCTGTGCTCAATTGGCTGCCACATTTCGCTCAGAAATATATAGTCAATTCACTCAACAGTATATTCCGTGAAGCGCTTTGAGACGTCTAGAAGACATGAAAAGTGCTATATCAAATGCAAGGATTATTATTATTGTGTGCAAATTGGCTGCTGCATTTACCTGAAAACATATACTCGCAGTCTTTTTCAGGATCCTTAGCACTAATTTCTGCTCTTTTCCAAGAAATGTCACTTGCAAATCAAAAGAGAGGATCTTGAGCAGTCCCAAATATAGGAGTGATGTGCATCTGGGAAGAAGACCTGCCTTTTAACAGCACCTTGTCTAACCATCAGGCTGGTTTTGACTATCTGTTCAGGAACATTTCTGCCTGCTGTTTCTAAGTGATTGAGTGGCGTGAGCTAGTGCTGGAAGCACATTTCCTGCAATAATCTGGAACTCTGCCAAAGTTGCTTCAACACTCAAATTATTTAGCCGCACAATTCAAAACAGGGTGCTTTGCAAAGCTTGGAAGTCCTACGGATCAGTGTAAGGCACGATGCAAGTTCCTGAGAAGTAAACTGAGCTTGTCTTCAGATCGCACCTGGGGCCTTTTCTGTTTGACTGTGCCTATGGTCACCTCCCTTTTCTTCACAGCTCAGAGTCAAATTACGCTATTGTTAAGCGATCCAAGACGTTATGCCATGTGAAGGGCACTTTATAAATGCAAGTTGTTGTTGTTGGAACTTGCAGTCCATTGCGAACCTAGGGCTCTTCAGTCTTGAAAAGATATGTCTCAACTAAGTGCATCATAGCATGTGGCTTTAAATCATTAATGTGGACATCTTCAGACCAACCATGCACAGTATATTTAAATGCCTACAACAACACTTTGCTAGTTGGAGAAGCAATATCTGACAGTCAGATTACCTATAAAAGAAACCCAGTAACTCTGTATAACCTTGATATTGTGCAGGTTATTCACAACCAGAACAACCTGGTGTACTTTCACCAGTGGTTTGAGCGTTATGCTGGAAGCAGTGAATATAGACCATCTTTGGAAACCTGATCTGCACAGGTTTGTTCTGGAGCATCCATGTGACACACATCTGGTACCAGCAGGATTTAATATAGTATATTAATAATAATCCTTACATTGGTGTAGCACCTTTCACATCAATTGTAGTGACTATGTGTTTTGTGGGCAAATCTATAAAACCAATGCTTATCCACACACTGACTAGAACAACTTCATTTAATTCTCTCACATTGAGAAATTAAGTTGGCTAAATAACAGCCTGTGATGGAGGATCTTCACTTGAGCAGGTGAGAGCTCTGAGCTCTGGGGATCCCTGACATGTCATTGCCAGTGACCCAACAAAAGTGAGGTCCCAACCTTTCCTCCTTTCCTCTTCACCTCTTATTTTGCCCTCTCGCACCTCTTTTTTTTCTCCCCAGCACTCTCCGATGCTCCCTGACTCCACTCGTAAGGTGGCGAACTGAGACATGGGACAGCAGGCAAATGCTTTGGCTGGGCTGACATTGGCCAACCAGACTCCCAGCCAGACTCTGCCTTGCAACAAATAGCCCAGTGTTTTATGTTACCTTATTGTCCATTTTGCCAATTGTATATATGTCATGGGGTTTAACAGTGGTTTTCAATTCCATAAACGTGTGGACAGATGTATTACCCATTTGTGCTGGGGTGTGGTGATCTCCTTACACTGCCCTCTACACTGATGTCTGTGAAGCCTGGTTACACATTTTCGAAAGAGTCAAGGCTTTGGATTACTAGTTAACCGGGTTTCTGCTTTTTTCTTATCATAAATCTCAGAGCAAAGCTTCTATCCCACTATCCATGAGTCAGGAGATAAAAGGACAACTTGGTTCATTGACACCACAATTGAGAACAGTTTGGGAAGGGGTTAGAGTAGGTCTGCTATTCAGGTAATTCATGTTTCAATCCTTGAGAAATTTCTAAATTTAAACCTCAAATTTGGGAATTATCCGAGCAGATTGGAAGATAGAGAATGTGATGCCATCATTCAAGAAAGAAAGAACAAATCAAGTAACTACGAGTCTAACAGCAGTTTTACTGGAATTGATCATTATAGACAGAAAACTGAGCATTTGGATAAATTTGCCTAAATCGGGGAGAGTCAACATGGTTTTGTGAAAGGAAAATCATTTGTCATAATCCTAATGGAGTTCTTTGACTGAACCGTAGAAGTATAGATAATAATAATCCTTGCATTTGATATAGCGCTTTTCACGTCAGGAGGACGTCCCAAAGCGCTTCACAGAACACACTGTAAAGTGAATTGACTGTATATTTGTGGGCGAACGCGGCTGCCAATTGCGCACAGCAATGTCCCACAAACAGTCGTAGATTGAAAATGACCAATTTATTATTGTTTTGTTTTTGGAGGGATTATTATTAGGCGTGTGGAGTAAGGAAACTTGCCCAAGGTTTCGCCCTGTGCCTGGAATTGAACTCAGGTCTCTCGCTTGCAAAGCGAGTGCTCTAACCACTGAGCTACAGGACTCCACTGAGCTACAGGACTTCACGTGGATGTGGATAAATGTGGATTGATGGAAGCAATTTGTATGGATTTTTAGAAAGCAAAGTCCCTTCTAAAAAGTACCAATTAAACATAATGGAATTAAAATATTCACTCTCTCTCTCTATATATATATATATTATATATCAATATATATTTAAAAATGTCCTTGATATAGAAATAGAGGAAGTATTTCTAAGTTTGCTGATGACACTTAGCTCAGAGGTGTTGTAAATTGTGAAGACAAGAGAAAATTGCAACGCTAGTGGCCGAAATGTGGTAAATGGAGTTTGACATTACAAAGTGTGAGAGAGTAAACTTTGGATGCAAGAATGGCTGCTGCGAATATGCTCTAAATCCAATGCAAATTTATATTCATATAGTACCTTTTACGTCAAGAGGAAATTGCAAGGTGGTTGACACCTGAGTTGAGGGGGGGTGGGGGGACAACATGGCCAAAGATGTGATCAAAGAGGAAAGTCTTGAAACGGACCTTGAAGGAAGCGAGGGAAGGGCTAGTCAACAGGATTCCCATGGAGTTCCAGAGAGTGGGGTAGATAAACTGAAAGCCTGGACACCAATGATGCGGCGGATTAAATGGGTTACATGGAGCATACGGGTGTTCGCTGGTTGACAAGTTTGAGAGGAATGGGGAAATACTAGGAGGAGTAGATGAACAAAGAACTTAGGAGTCCTATTCTATATGTTGTGAAACTCATTTGTCAGCACAAAATTGCTGCTTGGTTACATAGAGAACTGGCCAGACCTCATTTGGAATATTGTGTCCTATTTTGGGCGCTTGAGTCAACGAATAATATATAAACTTTGGACAGCATCCAGTGGCGATTCGCTAGATTAATTCAGAAGAGAACCGATTATCCGCACTAATTGAGACTGGCCCTTTTGAGGATAAATAAACAGTGCAGATAAGTGCGCCAAGTACTAACCGGCTGCAATGCTAACCAAAGAATTGTTCCATTAGGAGTTATAACAACAGCAACAACTTGCATTTACAGAGCGCTCCTCATACAGGGTTGCGTCCCAGAGCACTTGGAACATGACTCCGAGCCGGGGAGGAAGGGAGAGATGACCATAGGCACTGTCGAAGAGGCGCAATCTGAAGATGGGGAAGGAAGGGGCAAGGCGGAGGGATAGAGGAAGATTGTTCCAGAGTTTCGGGGCATAGTGGCTGAAAGCATGGCTACCGACGGTGGAATGGAGATCCCGGGGACATGCAGAAGGCTGGAGCTAGTCGAATGGTGGCAGTGGGTAGTCAGTTAGGAAGTAAGCAGGTCGGAGAGGTAGGGAGGTGCCAGGGTATGAAGGGAAAATGAGTGCAAGGATCTTGAAATTGATCCATTCGGCGATCAGGAGCCAGTGGAGCCTAGCTAGAATTGTGTGCGTCTGGGGGTTGGAGGTACAGTTGGAGGCGTGCAATGTGAGGCTGGTGGAGGAAGACGGTCCTAGTCGGGGACCAGATGAGGGGAAACAGAGGCAGAGACATGTTAGGAAGAGAAGGCAGAGGGATGGAACCAATTTTGCAAAATCTGGACTTCAAATCCCCCATCTTTCAACCCTGTGCCGAACAGGCCTGATTTCACCTTGTGCCCCTTTAGTTTCGCACACTCCATGTGATCACACTCTCTCTCGCTTAATTAAATTAATTGCACACAAAATCAAGAGGGGAAATAGTCAAATTAAATGGGCCATGAAAGGTACACCGTATTGATCAGTTTTATCATCTAACCTCATCTGACCTGTGAGAGATCTAATTTGTTATACTTTTGCTCTCTTGCAATTTGGTTGGGAGAGAAGGCTGTATCTGAGAACTAGTTTGTGGCTAACATCCAATTATGGTTACATTACATTATAGTCACCGCAAGTCCTCTTAGCACTATATAATCTGAGCATGGACGCTGTCAGCACACAGGCATAGACAGGAGACTGCTGTCATAACACAGGATAATTGGAACAGATTATTTGGAAGCGTGGTGGAGGCCAGGACACTGGGCTCATTGATGAACAGATTATGTTGGTGCAATAGGAGAATAGTTTATTATGGAGGATGAGATTCAACAGACTGAAGTCCAAATGTGTCTTGTGATCTTTTGATAAGATAACGGAGAGTGTTAAAGCTTTCTCCGCATTTGTACTAAATCTAGTAAACTAAATAAAAGATCAGAGAACGCACAGTGAAGGCTATATCACTTGTTGTTCATTGTGTCTATTTCATAAGCCAACGTTCCCCCATCCTCAAGCTATCATATTATCCAATGTGGAGTCTGAAAAGAGTGTTGCGCATGTATAAGGCGTGTATGAATACAGGGTAATAATAACAATAACAAAATTACATTTGTAAAGTGCCTTTTACGTCGAGAGGATGTCCCAAGGCGCTGAACAGTCAGGGATCAGGACCTGAGTGTGCAGGGGCAGGGTTAAGATGAGGGAGGGCACAGAGGTAGGTAGAGAGGCTGAAAGCCCACCGCCGATGGTAGGGCGGGTCGGGCGGGAGACCTGGAGCAGGCCGTAGCTTGCTGAACGGAGAGAACAGACAGGTTGTTAGGGGGTCAGCAGGTCAGAGAGGTAGGAGGGTCAAGAGAAAGTGAGGATGAGGATTTTGAGAACTATCCTTTGAGGGATGGGGAGTCAGTGGAGCCGGGCAAGGGTGAGGGCTATGGGGTCACGGAGCCTGGTGCGGGAGAGGACACAAGCTGTAGAGTTCTAGATGATCTGCAGGTTGTAGAGGGAAGAGTTGGGGAGGCCGACAAGGAGGGAGTTTCCATAGTCGAGCCTTGAGGTGCCGAATGTGTGTATGAGGGTTTAGGCGACCTGAGAGGTAAGACAGTGGCTTAGTTGGGCAATGTTGCGGAGGTGGGGGAAGGCAGAGCGGGTCATGGGACCGATGTGGAGGAGAAAGGACAGTTGAGCATCGAACAAGATGCTCAAAAACAAGATGGTTTCTTGTTTCAGAAACAAGATGGTTTCTGACTGGCTTGATGAGGTGGAGTGTGCATCTGTGGAAGCTGATGTCAGCGCCTGAGGAGCGGAGGCGCTGGCGCGAGCCATTCAGGAGGTGACATTAAGTTGTAGAAAGTTAGCTCTCATCCAGGACTTGATGTCTGAGAAACAGTCTGTCAGGACGTCAGTTATCAAGGGTGGAGGCAGAGAGATAGAGTTGGATGTCATCCGCATACATGTGGAAGTTGACCCTATGTCTGCAGACGATGTTATCAAGGAGGAGCATGCAGAGGTTAAAGTGGAGGGGACTGAGGCCAGAGCCTTGAGGAACACACACAAGACTGTGCCATATAACATCTGTATAAGGCGTGTATGAATACAGGGTAATATAATATCTGTATAAGGTGTGTAGGAAGACAAGGTAATATAACACATGTGTAAGTTTTGTATGGTTTGCCTTTACATTACGACATTGTGAGAGTTCATCTTTGTTCTGCTTGCAGGCCACCACACTGTCTACATTGGAGTTCACGTCCCTAAGAGCTATCGGAGGCGGCGCCGCCACAGAAGACGTACGTCTGCACAAAAGGAGAGAAGCAAAGAACGGGATAAGACAGCCGAGGCCTCTGACACTGAAAATAATGAGGACCCGACCAATGGGCACATTCTTAAACCTCTTCGTGAGTACAATACTATTATGTGTTCTCAGCCAGTTCACTGAGTTCTTTACATCCTTTTTATTTTTTGGATGTGATGTTAAAACCGATGTCGGTTGAGGTAAATTGTTAAAGTTTGCACGATGTGAGAAGAGTTTCTTCCAGTGAATATCTTGGCCCCAAAAATTTAATTAATGGCTGTTTATGAGACCTCGCTGGTGGAATTATCTGCTGTCTTCATACAAAACAGTCAATGCATTTGACAGTAAATACTTGAAGGGCTGAGTAATTTTGACGTGAAACAGTGCTAAAAAAATGCAGTTTCCTCCATTCCTTCCTCACTCCCTCCTTCCTTTTTTTCCTTCTCACTTCTTCCTTCTCTGCCTACTTTCCTCAAGTGATTCCTCAGTCAGAATGTGTGTTACCTGCCTGTCCAGTCTCCAAACTGCTTCAGACAGTCTTGCACATATCTTTTTGAATGGTAGGTTTGTAAGTGCCAGTATAATAGTGCACAGATTCCTTGAATAAGCCAGAACTCTCTGCACAATTTGAACTGTGTTCCAGGGTGAGGGGGACAGACCAACCAATGACCTCCTTGGCCTGCCAGACAAAGCGCTCCAGATTCATAAACTCTCTGAGACAGAAACATTTTACCCTGATATGCATCCCACATCCTCCCCATTTGAGTGCTTCCTGCTCTCCCTTCTACTACATTAGAATACATCAGTCATTAAACTTGCTTTGAACTCCTGCATTTTGACTGTGAATTCCCCACTTTGCACATCTGAATTTTAGGCTGACAACAGCCACTGTTGTCTCATAAGAGGAAAGAAAAAATCCTACTCGTGGTGCCAAAAACCTCCTTATTATAGTTCATTGTATATTTATGCTTTCGGAATAACTTTCCACTCAACCCTGGCCCATTGCAAGCACAGCAAGAGTGGGAACGATTTTGACAGATTATGAAGGATGATAAAGAGCTGCAAAGCTGGTGTCAGTGTAAGGAGGTGTGTCTTGAGGGTCGAACAAGTTGCTGAGCTGTTTTTCTCTTTTATTAATGGAATATGAAAGTGGGGAATTCATGGTCAAAATGCAGGAGTTCAAGCTAAGTTTAATGACTGATGTATTCTAATCTAGAAGGAAGGTGGCACAGTAGATAATAATTCTTGCATTTCATATAGTGCGCAGAATTTAAAAAACACTTCACTGGCGATTTCTGTAAAGTGAAGTTACTGTGAATTTTGAGGCAGACCTGCTAACATGCACACAGCAATGGCTGACAAACAGCCATGAAGTGAATGGTGCCAGATAATATGGACATTTGCCCACAATCCACACAGTCACCTTACTTTACAGTATATCCTGTGAAGTGTTTTGAGACGTGTCAATGATACGATAAGGTGCTATATAAAATGCAAAGATGTATCTATTTCCCACTTGTGAGAAATTCTGGTCTGATTATAATGTAACTGGTCAGCGTGTGAAGCTCACACAGAGTGGGACCTGTCAAGATTGTGCACGCTATTATGGAAATTGAACATGCGCGAAGGAATGACTGCGGCTTAATCATCACATTAAGAAACTGGTCTTCAGAGCCATCAAGATGGCCCAGTGGTAACGGTGCATTTTTCTGACCAATAATCCACTAGACAAAATTGACCATTCATTTCATGTGGCTGGCCAACGACAACCCCAGGCTTCTTTTCTCCACTACCAACCGGCTCCTCCGTCCACCCTCTCAAGCCTCGCCCATCCTCTCTTCCAACTCCAACTGTGAGGAGGTGATGGATTTCCTTGAGACCAAACTCAAGGGGATCCGTTCAGCTGCTTCCACCCTCCCAACCGCCACTCCTTCCCTATCTCTCCCTCACACTCCAGCCCTCTACCCATCCCTCCCTCCACACCTTCAAACCTGTCTCCCCCTCCTGTGCCACCTGTGCATGACCTACTTTGCCTTCCCCCACCCCGCAACATTACCCGACTCCGCCACTGCCTCACCCCTCAAGCCGCTGAAACTCTCATACATGCTTTCATTACACCAGGCTCGACAGTGCCAACACCTTGCTTGTCGGCCTTCCCAACTCTTCTCTCCACAAGCTGCAGATCATCCAGAACTCTGCAGCCTATGTCCTCTCCCGCACTGGGCTCCGTGACCCCATCACACCTACCCTTGCCTGGCTCCACTGGCTCCCCATCCCTCAGATGATCAAGTTCAAAATTCTTGTCCTCACCTTCAAGGCCCTCAATGGCCTTGACCCCTCCTACCTCTCCGACCTGCTAATCTCTTATCAACTTGTCCCTTATTACAGGCTCCGGCCTGCTCCATGTCCCCCGCTCGGCCCACCCCACCATCGGCGGTCAGTCCTTCAGCTTCTCTGCCCCCACCCTCTGGAACTCCATCCCACATTCCCTTCACCTGATTCCCTTCCTTGCCTCCTTCAAGGCACACCTCAAGATCCTCCACTTCAAACGTGCCTTCGGCCCCCCCCTCCTACACTCTCTGCCCTCCACCCTCCCTGATCCCAACTCCCCACCCCCGCTCGGGTCCTAATTCCTGACTGTTCAGCATCTTGAGACATCCACCTAAAATGAAAGGCGCATTACAAATGTAATTTTGTATTGTATTATTTTAATCAATTCTTAACAGCAGTAAATTCTTTCAGGGATGGACACTATCCCATGTATGTCACACTCAATCACCTACTGTGCTCTTGCTCTGAAAAAGCAATGGTTAGTAAAACAACATTTTCTGAGTTAAGATTGAATTTAAGAATTTTTCCACAATTTTGCAGGATCTTTAATTTACAGGCTAAGATGTGGTGGAATTTCAAGGCTTTCCCCGAAGTACACCAGGTGCAAAGGCATTGCTTTGAGCTGCTGCGAAGAGAATCAAAATCATTTAATAGAGTATCTGAAAGCAATGGTAAAATGACAACAAAACCCTTATCTCAAGGCTAGAAAAAACACTCTGGGGAGAGTGTGTCAATGGAATAAAGTACATCCTGCAGGGCACTCCACATGTGCCACACTGACTCCCAAGATCACGGTGTTGATGAGTGTGACCAACATGGGATGGACGCGTTTTACAGCTCTTTTTCTGGAGTCAAAATGTTGTTTACGCTGGTGTTTCCTGATCTATCTTTTCAACCCGATAGTTGCATTACAAGAGACATTGACCATAATTAGGACGTTATGTGGTTTCATGTTAATGGGACCAATGGTGCTATTGGGTGCTGTATCTATAGATTCACTACTCTGTGTGGAGTATTAACATACTTTAATTGTGCATCTTCCTGTAGTGGCATTACTTATGTACAGTGTGAACACTAAATTCTTTTACCAACAAAACTCAAGTAAAAGCTGCCAATTGAAACACTCTTGATAAACCATTGCTTTTGCTCCTTAATTAGGCTTTAGTTTCCATTAGCAGCGAGTGATACAGTCTTTGGGTATCAGATAACTAAAATTAAATCTTTCAGGTTACTTGCGGGTTGAAACTATGCTTTCAGGAAGGAAGGAAGTGGGATTTTGATAGTTCCTTATCATGTTGAAAGTACTCCATAAGTAATTACCATAAAGTGTAGTTTTTTTTGTAAGCAAACATGGCAACCATTTTGCACGAGCAAGCAAGATCTGACAAATCGCCATGAGGGACTGACGGTGTTATTATGGTGGAGGATGGTGCTTCAAACAATGCAGCACATTCCCAGCACTGACTGTCCACCGCCTTGAGACGTCCTCCCAACGTGAAGGGTGCTATAGCTTCACGATATGAGTTCTAAGTTCAATGTGGAACTTGAACTCACAACCTTCTGACTCGGAGGCAGAAGTGCTACCAACTGAGCCAGCCTGACACCGCTCTTTGAAGATGATGGCTTGTAGCCACTCTTGTTCCTCACAGCATAGGAATGTACAGGAGCAGAAGGGAATATTATCAGGCTTGTCCCAACGTTTATAAAAACTTTTTTTAAAAAAAATCCTATATCGATCTCATATACCTCAATTTATTTCATTCCTAAATAACTAACTTCAAATTACCCTTGACTACAAAATACACCTTACAGTATATCCTTTGAAGTACTTTGAGGCATCCTCCAAATTTTTCAAATATGAGAGTTATTATTGGTATAACTAATTCTCTCTTGAATTTAATGGCACATTCTGCCTCCACTGTCTCCCTGGGTTGTCCATTTCATCTGGTCTAGAGGCAGGATGCAGCTTGCCTGAATTATTCCCCACTGCTGAACAAGCTGCCAACACTCACTGCTTGCGCTCACTGCGACGATTTAGGATTGCTATGGTCCATTAATCAGGCAGATATCTTTGTATTCTTTGTCATTTATGATCAAAGAGCTGCTAGAAGTCTGACGTAATTATTGAATGGTGATTTATGAATGAAATTGACATCAGCATTGAATGTCTAGCCTGATGGATGTGGTTAATGCTATTAATGCTAATGTGTATGAACTGCTTGCTCAGTCTGGCCTAGCATTGCCTCATGCTCAAATTAATGAGTTTAATTGCAGAAAGTACAGAATAGAGAAATCGTTATTTCAAAATCCATGTAAGATACTGACTTCATAGAGAAATCATTTTGGACCTGAAAAAGGTGTACAGTAGTGAGATGATTAGCTGCACTAATTTGGAGTGGTTCCATGGTGGATAAACAGACAATGTGGATAATTGGACATTGCACAAAATACAAATTGACTACAGTGCCAATTAAAAAAAAATCTCAGTAGTTATATTGTCACTGAAACACCACACTGGGCCAGTTCTTTACTTTTTCTGTCATTCACTCTTCCGAGTCTCTTTCGGTTTCTCTCACTCTCTCTAACTTTCCATCCCTTTGTCACTATCGCTCTCTCTCTCTTTCCATGATTTATCACACACTCTCTCTCGCCCTAACTATAATTTTCACCTGTTGCTGTATTTAAGAGCAATAACAATAACTTGCATTTATAAAGTGCCTTTTGTGTGGGGTAGTGTCTCAGAGCACAGGTCTCATGCAATGGAAGAATCCA